CTGACCATAACTGTGTAACTGAAACCAGAATTTATTCTTAATAGCCAAAAAAGCTAGAAACAATCTACTTTTCAGTAGCCAAAAAAGACAGAGAAAGATGCCCATAACAATGTGAACATGTCTCAAAAACTTCATGCTGAGGGAAAAACCCAGACACCAAAGTACATACTGCGCCTCCGTTTATCTGAGATTCTAGCGTTGTGTTTTCCAACAGTAGTCAGATATCGTGGTATGTCCATACCGAACAGAACGGATGTCGAACATTTCCGTCATCAAAGAAAGTGCTATTGGATAGCACTGTTTTAGAAATGCATCTCTAATCTATGATATAAAACAGAAATCAGTGACTGCCTAGGGCAGAGGTAAGGAAGAATTGACTATAGACAGATACGAAGGAATTTTTGAGGTGATGGAAGTGTTCTCTATCTTGGTTGTGATAGAGGCTACGTGGTGTACAGTGGTGTATAATTTGTAAAAACTCCTTGAACTAATTGTACAGTTGGTGAATTTCATTCTATGTAAATTATACTTCAGTGAAGTTGATTTTAAAAGAGTGTTTTATGGAAATTATTTTTTAATCCATTACAATACTTATTCATTATTAGATGTTTTTTGTAAAGATACAAACAAGTTATTTGCCTATTGCACAATGCCTCGGCATGGTATTTTGCCAGGTCCTGGAGATATAGAGATGACTCAGATACCAAACCTGCCCTCAAGTTGCTAACAGCCCAGTACTGGAGATGATTCATATACAAAAGTAACTAGAATCCACATAGAAAATTGTAGATGCCTTTACATAATAAGCACAAGTATAGTGTTTTAGGATATTAGAGGTAGAGGAGATCCCTTTTATCTGGAGGGATGAAGGAGGCTTACTGACCTCTGAAGAATCTGTGGGATGTGGATATGTGCAGGTAGGGCTTAAAAAACATTCTGACTGAAGGGAATCATATGATCGCAGGCAGAGAGCTCCGGACAAGTAAGTAACCTGGTGCATAGAGCTCATAAAAGAGAGCAGTTGTAAGACAACTCACATGAATATATGTGAGAATTGAATATATGTAAGGATTGACACAGTGGCTGCAACAATGGGTTCAAGCATAACAACGATCGTGAGGATGGCACAGGACCAGGCAGTGTTTCATTCTGTTATACACAGGGTCACTTGAGCAGGAACTGATTCAAGGGCACCTAGCAACAACGACAACATATGCGAGAAGGGTTTGTAATATGAATACCTGAGTTTGTCCCAGTGCATATTCTCAGCTGCTAGAAGCTGGGAAGGCAAAAGTGCTCCCTTCTCTTACATTATGTCCAAAGTTCCAGACTCTGATTGTTGCTGCTTCCCTGAGCCCTTTACTTCCTCCTCCCTTTCATTCAAATCAAAAGTCTTCATAAACAATGTCATAGAAACTATTCGTGTTCTCCATGTTGAGCATCTGATGGTACAACTCCTTCAATGACAGGCAGCTCCTGAACACAGTGGCCACCATCAGTAGCAGCGGTGGTGGGAGTCACAAACAGCCATCATGTTCTTGGCATCAAACATCTGCTGGGTGAGTTTGGGCACAGTCAGGGTGAGGCACTGCTGGCTGCCCCAAAGGTCAGCCAGGCGAAACCGGGTATGAAGATGTGCAAGAGGGGAAGGGCACCATGTTCACCACCAGCCTTCATAGGTCAGCGTTGAGCTGGCTGGAAAGCGCAGGCAGATGGTGATCCCATTCAAGGTGGCTGACACAGGTTGTTCAGGTCACCGTAGGTGAGCGTGGTCAGCTTTAGGGTTCTGAAGCATACGTCATAGAGGGCTTCATCAATGCAGTGCATGTCGTCTGGATTCTCTGCAAGCTGGTGGACCGAGAGGGTGGTGTTGTAGGGCTCAACCACCATGTCCAACAGCTTGGGCGAGGGCACCACACTGAACGTGTTTATGGTCCTGTCAGGGTACTCCTCCAGGATCTTGCTGATGAGAAGCGCGCCCATCCCAGACCCAGTCCTCCTACCCATGGAGTAGGTCAGCTGGAAGCCCTGCAGGCAGTCACAGCTCTCCCTTTCCTTCCCCACAACGTCCAGCATTGAGTCGGCCGGCTCCGCACCTTCAGAGTAGTGCCTTTTGGCCCAGTTGTTCCCAGCAATGCTCTGACCAAAGGCGAAGTTGTCAGGGCCAAAGATCTGCCCAAAGGGTCCTGAACACACAGAGTCCGTGGTGCCCAGCTCCAGGTCCACCAGCATGTACTTGCCGTTGGTGGCCTCGTTGTAATACACGTGAATCCGCTCCAGCTGCAGGTTGCTGTCATGGTGGTAGGTGCCAGTAGGATTGGTGCCATGCTTGTCTCTGATCACCGCCCAGAATTTGGTGTCAGCCTGGTTTCCGAACTGCCAGTCTGCACCTGCAAGATCTCCCTCTTGGTGCCTGGCAGCGGCACAAGGGGTGGGGGGCGGCAGGACAAGATGGGAGTGGAGGAGCTGGCGTGCAGACTCATTGACGGTCTTCCTCTTTTTCACTCACCGTCCACCTTTACAAAACTTGATGTCCTTCTCCAGGGACTGGTCCCTCCTGATAACATGTCCAAAGTATGTGAGACAAGTCTCACCATCCTTGCTTCTAAGGAGCATTCCGGCTGTACTTCTTTCAAGACAGATTTATTTGTTCTTCTGGCAGTCTGTGGTATATTCAATATTCTTCACCAACATCATAATTCAAAGGCATCAAATGCATGTCCAGGTTTTGAATGCATATGAGGCAATTGAAAATGTCACGGTCAGGCGCACCTTAGTCCTCAAAGTGACTTCTTTGCTTTTAACCTTTTAAAGGCAGTAGTTGTAGTATAACCAGTAGTCATCAAGTCGATTCTGACTCATAGCGACCCTGTAGGACAGGGTAGTACTGCCCCGTAGGGTGTCCAAGGAGTGGCTGGTGGATTCAAACTGCTGACGTTTTGGACACCAGCTGTAGCTCTTAACCATTGTGCCGCTTTAATGCAATAGTATCAATATTTTCCATAATTATTTGTATATGACTTGCCATTTAATATCTATCTTTCAACTGAGTAAATTTCAGATTTTTTAGAACTTGACTCTATTGAGAGACAAATACTAAATGGCAAGTCGTATGTCAGGGCACCCATTTTAAATTATCTTTTTTTAAAAAAATATATTAGGCCATTAAACATTTTAAAATTAAAACACGCTAAGAATGTTTGCAAATTGATATTTTCGTCGGGAGTCTACTACCTTTGCTGGTAATTCCAAAGTATTTAAAAGAGCTCTTGCTTATTTTCTAGAATGATTGAATTGTAACTATCAGACCTGGGAAAAGCATTACGTCTCACTATTCAAACTGTGGTCCTAGGAGCGGCAACACCAGCTTTACCTGAGAGTCTGTTAGAAATGCAGAATCTCTGGCCTTATCTGACCTACTGAACCAGAATCGGCATGAACAAGATTTCCCTGTGTCCCACATGCACAGTAAAATCTGAGAAGCCCTACAGTATAGAGATCATGATTTCACGTCTCATTTTATAAACAGGAGAAGCGAAGTCCTGGTCAAAAGAAATTGAATATTCTCAATCCAGGGACTTTGTATATTCAGGTCATCTGCCAATCCCAGGTAATAAAACTAAATACTTTAACTGCAATGAGCAAATCTATAATTAATTAATCAAATGATCGTCAAGTTTCACATTTTGTAGAACAAGCTGTTTGATTTGGCTCAGGCTCAGGCCGGCAAGTGTGTGAATTTCACAATTCACAGATGTTAGATGCTCTCAGGCTAAGTAAGGGAAGAGAATGTCAAGTTTTTTTTTTTTTTTTTTTTTTTTTTTGAGAATGTCAAGTTTTAAATAGCTTTTCTGTTCCATTCTGGCTGAAGCAGGAAATAAAATATATATATTTTTTTATGAAACATATTTTGAACCAGAATTTCTTTTAAAGAAATGTCAAGTTTTTCTGAAAAGGACTTTAGATTGTCTCCGAGCTTTGACACCAGTTTACAGGTGCCCTGTGGGTAAGGGGCAAGGGAAGATCTGAAGGTGCCATGTCATCGGCACTTGGGCACACAGATTGTATTTTAATTTAGCTTCTGGGTCGTATTGCATTCACTCTCCATATCCACAAAACTATGACAGATTTACAGCTTGTACTCAGAAAGGAGAGGAAATATTCTGTATGTAGGCTTTTTTGAATTTATAATAATTTTTGATATATGGACGGTTTTATAGTTTTATTCCAAGTACCAATAGTTGAACCAAAACAAAACCAAAAGCAGCAAAATTAAAAGACATACAGCCGAGAATGAAACAGACTGATAGAGACAAAAATAACTTAGAAAGTGTTCATTGATAGACAATTTGAAATAATTTTTATATGCTTCAAAATATTCTAAAATGTATGATTTTTCTATTTTAACATCACTTTGAGAAAATTCTTATACATATGTGTACTAGGGCATTGAAAGAACTCATTTAAGGTCATTTTCTTTTATGTGGGGCAGGCAAAACTTCAAGGGAATGTGAGTGAGTATTTTTTTCTCTTGGTTGAGACCAAGAGTTCTAGGTTAAATATAATCAAGGAATTTCCCTGTCTTTGCTATTTGAGATTGTGGCCACAACAGGCGGTTGGCTGAAAGGGAGAATGAAGGGGGGTGGAGGAAAAAAAAAAAACAACAAACACTTTCCTAAGCAGCTCAGCAAAACAATTCAGCCCCAGAAGCAGTAACAGAAGTCCTCAAATCAAGATAGTGTCCAGATACAAGGAAAAGTTAATTAGCTGAGCAGGGCGAACACTTAACAGAGCTCAGTTCTGTTGTAAACTCCAGGCTGCTGAAATTAAACTCTGATGCCATTCACGCCAACATCCAATCACCAGAGAGATCAGAAGTTCAGAGATGCTACCAAGTTTCCAACAACAAGTGTGGCTACTATATGTCAAGGACTCTAAAGACGAGGTAGAGAGAGAAGAACAACTTTAGAGAGGATGCCCAGCTGGTAAGAATCCACTGTTTATGATATTTTAGTCACTTGATGAATCTCATTGGCTAAAATCAAGAAACGCTCCACCTCTTTGCAAATATGTGTGTGGAAGGGGGAGGGAGGTGTCTAAATTTCTATGTCTGATAGCATTTGACCCTACTGCCTTTAGCCTCCTGGCTCTGTATGTGTATATACGCAGGTATATGTGTATATGTTGGATCATCATTCTCCATTCGTTGATATCAAAGAGAGTTGAAGGAAATGAATTTTGAAACCTCCCGGTGCTCCACCCTACAGTACTGCCCTGACCCTTACATCCAGCGGTGAGTTCAAACATGAAGTAACTTCTACCAAAACTTAATCGGAGTGCCTGTGTATTGCGAGTGTTTTGGCAGTTATATAAAGAGGAATCCCTCCTTGTTGAGTAAACACAGTGATAATATTTTGGATTTTCTGTGGACTTAAAGTGGTCTGTGAGCATCTTTTCTATTTTTTTTTTTTAAGATCATTTCTGGATCTACAAAGTGACAAAGTTTGAACACAATGTTCCCTTTTAAAAAAATTATAACACCATTTTAAGAGGTTTAAAATCTGTTATTTGCTTTGCTGTGCACCTCCCCACCCAAGAAGAAGAGATTTCATTGGAAAGGGGTATAGCAATGTGTGGATGATCTTCAAGCCAAAATAAACACAGAATGATTCTGACATACTTGACCAAAAAAAAAAAAAAAAAAGGTAAATAGCCATCGTTACACCACACAGATTGTGGCTTGTCATTTTGGCTGTAAGGAATATTTTCTTCTTCACGCGTTTCATAACAAACATCATCTTTTGACAACTCTGACTTTGAAAACCTATGATTATGCTGAATTTTATTTATGTTTATAGGTAGGAACATTGCCTAACACTGAGAGGGAATATTCGTGGGGTATACGGATGTGTGTGCTGTGTGTGTGTTTCAAATTAGAGTTGGCTATTTTTAAACTGGTAAATGAAATCCGAACAGTGTTTTTCCAGTCACCAAGTTATGGGAGACATTCAAGTCGTATGTAGCAGTGTGATGTTGTTAATTTAACAGCACGAGGTTTGATGTTGGAATTTCGTACTTTATTTTATAAGACTAACGGGAGAGGTCCTCTGAGTGTTGAAAACGGTGGGGTTACAAAGGGGTTAAGTTGTCATTCACCACCAAGGTCTACTGGAGCTTCATACCAGAAGTGGAGTCGGCTGTCTGGACAGGGCTCAGTTACTGTCAAATTGCCTAAGGGATTAGGAAAGATGTGTGATCTTTTCTCATTAATATAATTTACCACCATGTTGAACATTAATGTGGATGATATAGACTCTGTTTCTCTTCCTGTGAGGTTTCTGGACTGTGTGAGCAAGGCAGAAAGGTAAATGGAATGGTGGAAAGAAAGAAAAGAGAGAGAGAAAAAGGAAAATGAGAGAGTGAAGCAGACTTGTGGCCTCCCAGGTTGAAATGGGAAATGTGAATGGGGTTTGAATGCCTTGCTGTCCGCCACAAGCAAAATATTAGCAGAAATAAATTGCTCTGGAGTTTATTTTCTTGGATCACTTGAAAATCACATTTAGTTGGAGTTGGAGATTTAGATCGATAAAAAGCAAATGCCAGAGATTTTCTAGTTCTCTAAATTTTTTCCAGGCTCTATATTTACTATTTCACTAAAAATCTTCCAAAATAATCTTTCTAAGAACCTAATTCTGATGAAATATTAGCCCTATAATGCTTCCCCTGAGGGCATCTTTCTTAAGGTAGGCGCTAGGATCTACCTCAGCTTTAGAAGAAACATTCTGCTGACAAGTAGCCCACACATCAATCCTGCGCAGTTCTGTCTAGAGACATTTCCAGTGATTGATGAAAGAAGCCTGAAATAAATAAGGAAATTGCTTTTCATATTACCCTAGAAGCCTGATAATTCATGGAGCAAATGTCATCTCAGCTTTTGACAGATTGTAAAATTCCAAACAATAATAGTGCTACAAAATAGTCCTTAACTTTCCTAGAATGCCCTAAGCTTTAGTAATGGTGAGTTTCATTTTTAGGGAAGGGAATGTTGGGGAGCTGTGAGGTTATAGCACCAGAAGGTCAAGGAACAATTTATTTGCCAAATTAATTGTTTCAGGTAAGACTCTCTACTTCCCACTTGTAAAGAACACTGAACCAGCAAATAAATTGAAGAGGAAAACAGTACTTGTTACCGGGCATCTGCTCTGTGCTAGGCACTGGAAATACAGAAATGAATAAGATATGGCTGCAATGTTCATTAGTTCAACTCTAGTACTTATATATCTAGTAACAGATATATTTTCTCAGTATATGTCACATATATTAAGAACTGAATGATTGCTATTTTCCTATATATATTAATGAGTGAATGAATGAATGAATGAGTGAACTACCACCATAGGAAATCTATGATATTGTATATTTTCAAATCAAGACTCAAACGATTTTCTCTTTGATCCCTAAAGAGTGAATGGGTGTGAGTTGGATTTTCCAAGCACACAATCTTCGTGGTTCTCAGTTTACAAAACCTATTTTAAGAAAGACCAAATTTAACCATTCTATAATCACAGTCATCTACATAGTTAAATTTGTCTTTTTCTGATCTTGTCTTTAGAAAGAAGCCATGAAAGAGAATTTTTAAAAAGGAAAGAAGAGCATATCATGTTATTTTTAATTCCAAGCTACCTTAAAGTATGAATTTCCTTTTATCACAGAATAGAATGAGAGATGTTTTTATCATTTCATACTGAATGTTAATGCTTTTTCCAAAAGACTTGTTTTAAGACGTATTTTAAAGCTCTATGAAAATCATTCTCTCTGTTAAAATTGAGATTTTGCCCTCTGTTTTTTTCCTTTGCATCTGAACACATTGACGTATTATGCATTTAGTTGTGCTGATAATTTACCTCAATCTTTGCAAACCTTTCTTATAATCCAAAGGGTAGTTGGAATTATAGAGCTTAGATTTTCCTTTTGATGATATTGACCGTTACAAAGAAGAAGAGAACATGGTCAAAATCCAAGTCTTATCCCTTGATTACTAACTTAATTTTTACTAAAATATAGAACCACGGATGAAATGATGCTTGATCAATAATAAGAGTACCTGATTAATTTTCCATTTCCTTGTAAAACTGTACACAATGAGTTTTATTTGCTGTTTATTTTTTATTAAATGAATACTCAAACGAATCTAACATTTAGCACATAGGACCTGTTAAATGTTCTGAATAATAGTCCTGACTCTGCCACTAACTGGCTATGTGACTTTCCTGAAACCACTTAAGCTATCTAAATCAAAGTTTCCTCATCAGTTCATTTCCAATAACAACTTCTGATCTACCGCTCACAACTAGAATTTTGCAAATTAAATATGGACTCAACAAAACTCTGAAAAGCACCCCCTTAGAGTATAGCTCATTTCTACTGTTGTGTATATAGGTCCCCCACCACCTATTCATCAGTTCATCATACTGCGGTGGCTTGCATGTTGCTATAATACTGAAGCTATGCCACCAGTATGTCAAATACCAGGGCGGTTATCATGGGTGGACAGGTTTCAATGGACCTTTCAGACTTAGAATAGGAAGAAAGGCCTGGCAATAACTTCTGAAAATTAGGCAATAAAAACCCTATGGCTCACAACAGAATATTGCTTTATATGTTGGTGGAAGATGAGCCCCCTAGGGTGGAAGACGCTCCAAATACACAGTGGCTGCCACAATGGACTTGAGTATATCAATGATCATGAAGCTGACACAGCACCAAGCAACATTTTGCTCTGTTGTACATGGGGTCATCATGAGTTGGAGCTGACTCGATGGTAATTAACAACAACAACAATGTAGGATTCCAGCAGACTGGTTCTTCCTTTCTAGCAATGGTTATGTCCCCATGTAGGCATACCTTATGTTCCTTATTGCTCCATATTATGTTTAAATTAAGAACAAAGATAATTATGGGTTTTGATATGACCTTGGCTTGTCTCTCTCAATTCTCTTATTTTAGAATTGAAGGACTTGAATACCAGAGGGATTAAGTGACTTGTCCAGATCAGCAAAATGGTAGCAGAGCCAGGACTAAAATCAAATGTCTTGACTTCCAATTCAGTGCTCTCTCAGCCACAGAACTTAGCATTTTATTAGATCTGTAGAGTACTTTATAGTTAATAATGTGTTTCCCAATTCATTATTCCCACCTGGGAGATAGACAGGTGTGGTAGACAGGATAATGGCCCCCAAAGATGTCCACATCCTAATCTTCGGAATCTATGAATATGTATGTTACATGGTGCCTTAGTTATCTAGTGCTGCTATAACAGAAATACAAGTGGGTGACTTTAACAAACAGAAATTTATTCTCTCGCAGTCTAGGAGGCTAGAAGTCCAAATTCAGGGTGTCAGCTCCAGGGGAAGGCTTTCTCTGTCTGTAGGCTCTGGGGGAAGGTCATTGTCATCAATCTTCCCCTGATCCAGGAGCTTCTCTGTGCAGGAGCCCAGGTCCAAAGGGCATGCAGTGCTCCTGGCTCTTTCTTGGTGGTATGAGGTCCTCCTGTCTCTCTGCTCAATTGTCTGTTTTATATCTCAAAAGAGACTGACTCAAGATACAACTAATCTTGTAGATTGAGTCCTGCCTCATTAACATATCTGCTTCTAATCCTGCCTCATTAACGTCATAGAGGTAGGATTTACAACACATAGGAAAATCACATCAGATGACAAAATGGTGGACGATCACTATTAGGGAATTAAGGCCTAACCAAGTTGACCTACATTTTTAAGGGGACACAATTCAATCTGTAACATGTGACAAAGAGGAATGAAGATTGCAGATGTAATTAAATTGCTAGTCGGCTGACCTTAACATAGGTAGATTATCCTGGATTTTCCCCAGTGGGTGCAATATAATCACAAGTATCCTTAAAAGTAGGAGTGGGAGGGAGAAGAGGAGTCAGTGTCAGAGTGATGTGATGTGAGAAACACTTAACTAGCCATTGTTGGCCTTGAACATGAAAGGGAGCCATGAGCCAAGGATTTTGGGAAGCTTCTAGAAAGTGGAAAGTGCAAGGAAAGAGATTTTTCCTCTAGAGCCTCCAGAAGGAAGTAAGCCTGCTGACACCCTTGATTTTAGCCCAGTGAGACCTATATCAAGCCTCTTACCTCCAAAACTGTAAGGCAGTGAGTTTGTGTTGCCTTAAGCTGCTAAGTATGCAGTAATTTGTTACAGCAGCAACAGGAAACTAATGCAGCAGTAAAGGATTTTTATCCTCAGTTTGTAGATACAGAAACAAAAACT